ATTAAAAAGTTCTCAATACAAGTGAGAAAAAATATAAATAAAAATACCATGTAGAGCTTTTTTTTATTATTCAGCCGTCTTTGCCCCTTTCTTTCAAGTACATTCAATGTCCTGCCTTTCAACTATCATGAGCCTCTCATGTTTTAAAAAATAATTATGCAGCGTTCTTTGTGGTTCTTCTGAAATAAAGCGTTAAAGTGGTCATTTTAAAAGTATCGCCCAAAGAGACCGTCAGGTCGAAACCATGGTCGCGTATTTTAACTGATCTCCTGATTTTTAAAGACACATATATATATATATATATATATATATATATATATATATATATATATATATATATATATATTTTAAAAATCAGAGGGGTAATCGTTAGCAAGCTTGTCTCGCTAGAACAATTACGACTGAGTGGTAACTTTAATCCACACTGGGTGCCCCTACTTTCGGCCTTGTGCCACATCTAAGCTATTCTTGGAAAATCACTATATATATATATATATATATATATATATCTCAAACTGTAAAAGGTTTTCGTGTGATGTGTGGTGAATAAATCATTAAAAAACTCAATGACTTATCTGCTGACGCAGACGCAGATCCGCACGTCAGATTTATCTCTCTCTGACGAGCGGATCTGTGTCTTCGAAACTTCCAGTCGAAAGATAAGTCACTGAACATTTTATTTATCTATTCACTACTATTTAATTCAATATGCCAAAAATGTGTTCATCCTAAATGCGTTCTCCTCCAGTAATTTAGTGATTGATGCGTTTTGTTAGGCGTCAACCATTCTTAATGAGGTCGTGAAACGGATAATTTTATGGATAGTGTCATTCTTAATTTATGAACAGTTCCAAAAAGAATTATACCGAGAATAACCTGAACCGAATATGTTCGCAACGACTATTAATTAGATTAAACAGAAATTTTTAAAAAAGTCCTCTCCTACATAACAAAGTAACTGTTGAAATTTGTAGAACAATTGATAAGGAAAAGAGGCTTAGAAAATTCGACACTCACAGGATAGAGGAAAATAATGCATAACCTAACTAAAGAACATGAGTAAATGGATGAGATAACAGATTTTAAGAGTGACAACAAACAGACAAAATTTATTAAACACTACAAAGGACAGGAGATTGTAGGGATCCGTGATCGCCAACGTCCTGAAGAGATACGGCACATAAGAGAATAAGATACCTAATTGTCATAATATTTGCTATTTGGTGTCATAGTCCTTACAGATTGCCAAATAGAGGTATGTCTTTACTTACATTACGCTCGAGCATTCGTCAGGTGACTTGAATGTCGAATTGAACCCTTTATTTCGTCCACCGGGGAAGATTGTTCTAGTTCCACATGCCATGCCTCCTCCAGATGTCTCCCTTTATCTAAACTCTCCAAGTGTTTCGTTCACCACTGCTGTAGCCTGGTATTAAACTCACAACTCAAGGATACATGGCCCAGTGGATAAAAGCGTTGGTTAGATCCAGTGACTATGCATAAAAAAGGCCGAAGCGTACAACGGCCGAAACAATAAAGATGAGGATAACAGTCCGAATAAAGTAAATAATGTAAGTAATGACCATCCAAAGACTTCGTCTACCCTCCAAGATATGGACGATCATGGACCTTCACAACTTCTTGTCCTTTGTAGATATTAATCTTTTTGCTATATCCCCTTATCTTTGTACTGTTACCCATGTCCATAAGCTTGTTAGGTAGTATATTCGCTTCTTTCCTCTGTCTGGAATGATGTATGGAGGCAGCAAAATGTTTTAAGTGCTTACCTCCATTATGTCCTGAGATTGACAAATTTTACAAGCCATCTTTCCTCATGATGTTCCCGAGAAATTTCACTGTCATTTTTTGACTCGAAGTTCGTTCGTCCTTCGCATGCGGAGATAACATTGACTTCGATTCACTTACAAAGATGACTAATGAGTCCGGTCTTCGCTCTAAAAAGTCTGTTGCAATTGTGACGTGGGATGCTAGGGGCTGAGAGTTGGGACCCTCTTGATCTTTTCTTTTCTGGCGTCTCTGACCCTAATTCTTTCTTCTTCAAAACAGAAGAGAAAAGATTCAAAATATAAGTGTCCTTTTTACTGAACTGCCATCGGTCCTTCTATATGGCAGTGGATGTTGGGAAACCCTCATAGATAAAGAAGAGACGAGGCAAGGAGAATATGGTTCTACTGAAGAATACTGACAATTTATTTTATTCGATCGTGCTACCTAGGATATTATTGAGTCTATCATGCCAACCATCATGGTCCTGCATCAAAGCCGGAAGGTCATTAGGGTGGCATCCTGGGTTACTACATAGTTGGTCAATGTAGATGGTTGCTTGCTGGGCGACCAACACGTCTTGCGCCGTGGCTAGGTATCAAGTGAAAAGGGCACCACAGAAAGCGTTATGATATGTCGTTGTTGCACATGTCTAAAGAAATAAGTCGATCACGATTACCACTTGAATCTGCCGGGCGCCATTACGAACGGGGAGATGATTGACCCGCAGCGAATCTTTATCGCGATTCTGATTGGTTACTAAGACAATGGGCTAAAAGAGATAATAAGGATATTATTTACTCAATACATCACATCTACCCTCTTGAATAAGTTGGTATTACTAATTAATTTCATGGGATTTAATTTTTGTGTACAATCATCTTTATCATCATTTGTCGACCGCAGTTGGGATTATCGAGCCAAGGCAAACGATGCGTACCTTTAGCTGTATAGTATTTACTATGCAAGGACTACATACAGTTTTGAATTCAGAGTCACTTTCTCCTAGACTGTTTGCTACCCAAGGCTAAAGAACCCAGTCTGTCCTTCTATTTACCCATAGCTAGGGGAAAAGAAGAGGATTCATACCTTTCCCAAGGGTATTAGCACGTACGTGAATGTAATGGATCCGACTGGAATTCGAACTCGGCTCTCCGATTCCTCAATCCGAGCCTCTGTAGCTATGCACCGTGCGGGCTCTACACCAATCATATGGGGTAGACTAACTGTTCGTTTAGAATTATTATGTCTATATACTTTTTATGGTTTTTTTAACGTGCTGGTTTGTTGAGTATACGACCACTTCTAATCACAGTTCTGTTAGAATCCGGTCGAGTTGAGACCCATTTGACAGTATCTCGTTGTTTCTTTTTTGGTAGGTTTACAGGGAATTGGTGTTGTTCTGAGTTGGAACTGATAATCAGACATTACTAATTGTCGTATGTACCCTCGGCTCCATCTATATTTATTTCCAGTTGGTGTTTCATTAATGTACGTTATTGGCTGATGTCCTTTTTTTGCACTTATTCACCCGCACTCCATGATAACATACTTATCTCGCAGATGTATGAAAACACGAAAATCTTTTAAATGCTTAGGACACCAAAATCTTTTAACTGATTAGGGATCTCATCAGTCTTTATCAGGTATGTATTTGATTATATGGAGACTGAAATTGATCACTAGGGCTATAAGGGCATTGATTTCATCTATTATTTTGGTGCCATTATTATTATTATTATTATTATTATTATTATTATTTTCTTTGATTTCTGTTGTATGCACATTTCCTTCCGGGTCCCAACCAGAGATCTAAGGTCAGAAATGGCTTCGTGATATTTTCCACTGATAATTTTTGTAAAAAAAAAGAAAACGAAAAGATCTTCTAGGCAACATTTATGTTGATGTTATCTGGGACACTGTTAGTAAAATTTCCATTCCTTTTCTCACGATACCCGGAGCTCCAATTACTACTGGTACAACCTCAGTCTTCATTTCCCACATCCTATTAATCTCGATCTCCAGGTCCTTGTATTTAGACAATGTCTCGATAATTTTCATGGAGGTGTTTCTCTCAGATGGTACTCAGATGGTATTATTATTATTATTATTTCGCTAAAATATATTGAAATTGCTATACTGAATGATGCATAAAACAAATGGCTTAATCATGTGATTATATGATTATAGCAAAGTTAGTAATGTGGAGGTGATGGGAGCGAAGTGAATTGAAATATTCTGCCTTTGTGCGTGTCTTCAAGTAAACCTTGTCTTTAAAGAAATTCTTCCAATTTGCATTTTTTTTTTACTTTTCTTGTTGTTCATCATTTTAATCTATTTCATTATTTTATGAACATCATTCCATTTCATTTCCTTCATACGTTTCATCATTTCTTTTTTCTCTTTTCATTTCTTTTTAATACTTTATGGCGTTCTTTTTCATCTGATTCATATTCTTATCTATCCTCTTAGCATTCGTAAACCTTTATCAGATTCTTTCTGTTCTTTACCTTGTCTATCCTCTTTTAAATGTGATAGAGAAGGGGCATTGGAAGAGCGAAAGGCGCATTCCAAAAGTTAACAAATTATTTAAAAAAAAAAAAAAAAGAAACAGGAAAAATGCGTGAAAAATCAAAGTCAACAGTACTGAAATGCTATGTAATAGCAATCTTTCTATATGACACTCAATGCCGGACATTTTCCTCACTGACCGATGTAATATGGTTCTAGTGAAGGAGACTAAGAATACTATAGGCAGAATATGAGAGCAATGAGTAGGCTGTAATAAAAATCGGAATAAAACAGACACGTGTTCTTCAAATGAAAGACATTTGAAATTTCTGGGACATATAAGAAGGAAAGTCGGCTTGAAAGCAAATAGGGTAGAGAGAAACAACGAATTAACTACTTAACGAGCTTGTAAAAATGGATGGTAACAAAAGAGACTCGGGTGGGTAATAAAATGGACCAATTTGCTTTGAGCTACAATGGATGGGAAGATATGGAGAGCCATGATCGACGACGTCTTGAAAAGACACGGAACGTGCAATAAGAAATAATATCTTTTATCCATATATTTCTAAGCTTTTTACACACGTTCTTCTCTTTCTTTTTTTCTTTTTTTTTTCATCTTCTGTTTCTTTGTCTGCAATTTCTTTCTTTACAAAGATTCCTTTTTCTTTTATTCCTTCCATATTGCTTATCTTTCTTTGCAGCATTTTACAACATCTATTTTTCTTCACATTCTATAATACCCTTTTTATACCTTTTTTTCGTCTTCTACTTTTTCCTTCTTCTTCTTCTTTTTCTTCTTCTTCTTCTTCTTCTTCTTCTTCTTCTTGCCGCATTACCTTGAAATATTAGGTTGGTGCAAAAATAATGAAGTAATAATGTCGTTTTTTGACGTTAAAAAATACGTCAAAAAACGACATTATTACGTCATTATTTTTGCACCAACCTAATACAACTCCCCGCACGATCACTGGAGATAACCAACGTCGAGCGGTCAGCCATTCAGGTACTGACCAAGTACCTAGATGACTGACCGCTTAAGTTTGGATGTGCGGATGGTGCAATAGATAATGGCTTGGAATTGTTAATCGGAAATCTGAGTTCCAATTCCAGTTGGGTTCGTTAAATTCAGTTATGCACAAATACCCTAGGGAAAGGTATGATTTCACCTCTTCTCCACCCAGCTATGGGTTAATTAGTAAGACTTTTATCACTAAATGTTGTTATCCTCCACCATCACCACCACCACTGTAAACATATTTTCTGGCTTTAAATAACCTGAAAGTGGTTGATAAATCGAAGAAAACAAATATTCTTCTTCCTCTTCCTCTTCCTATTCTACTACTACTACTTCTACTTCTACTACTACTACTACTACTACTACTTCTACTACTACTACTACTACTACTAGCTCTGGTGACTATTTGAGCGAATAAATGGCTTGTAACATTGAATACCTCCCAAAGCAAATCAGTAACGTTCCACCATCGCTTAGCAGATCCTGAACTTTCACCTCTCATGCTGAATGGTTATTCTCTCAAGGGAGGCGGGGGGTCTTTGTCTTGAAAGCTTATTGGGACTCTAGTTCACCCCAGACCTCATGTGAAACTCATAAATACATATAATCATTAAAAATTCTTGGAAAATGGTCTGTTCCTTGAAGTGCCTCAGTAAATACGTGACTCTGCCTACTGTTGCTTTATTTTTACAAAATATCAAATCAAAGTATTAGCGCCGTACGGGCTGGAAATTCCCACTTTCCAGCCTTGACAAAGATCAAAAGCTTTTATGCGACTTTGTAGGTAACGAATTATTTTTCACCCTACAACCACTTTCCCACGGATGGAACATCGCAAACCTCTCGTTACTCTATCGTTATTTGCGTGCTAAATGTTCTGATAGGATACGTTCCTTACTTCCAACTGCTTTGATCGTCACAGGCCCTAACGCCTACCATGTACAGGAGGACGATCATCAACATTCACTTCTTATTCCGTTAGTAAGAAGGAAGATCTGTTCGGACATCTTCTTTGCAAGAACCGCTGCTATGTGGAACAGGTTCCCACAGGAATGCTTCTCTAATCACTACAATCTTTAAGTCTAGGATTAACCGTTATCTTTGCTACATATCCTCTTAATCGGCACTTCTTACTTCCTGTACCTCCTGTTATTTTTATGTGCGTCAATTTCCATCTGTAGCGGTCTACCTTGAGTGGCTCTTGAACCTCATATTTTATTTTTTAAAAATTAAAAAAATGCGTTTCGTCTTAATATTCTTTATCTTTTATCTTCTTCGATATTTTTTGGCTTCTTTTTTTCTCTACTTATTCTTCTATTTATCGCTATTCTGCTTTTTTTTCAGAATCTACCCATACGTACGCTTTTTCACTGCTACTCATTAAAAAAGTCTATTATTCGTCTTTCTAAACGACTACCCATCATCCTCTTGCTTTCTCGTTACTCGGCTACTATAGCAACTACTGCTACCGTTTCAGCAATTACTGCTATGTTTTTTTTATTATTACTGTGACAACGCTTAACACATCAATATGACTATTATTTTTATCACCTCATCATTACTTTGTATCCTATCTTCTTCTACTTCTTCTCCATATATTATCAACTAAGCGTATCTTAGCTCTAGCACAAAGCCACAAATACTGGACATCGGGTGAAGATCGAACTCGCTACGTATTAATAACGATCAAACGAATTACCACGCTAAATATTACTCAAAGCTGAGGCACCCTTAAAACTACAAAGTGTAGAATGTTTTTGACACAGGGCCACATATACTGAGCGATCAAGATCTAAACTAGTTCTCAATAGTAATGATCTGCGAGACTAACTCGCTAATCTCACGCCAAGACGTTTTTTTCTTCATTAAACTTAGTTTGACACAGGGTCACAAGTATAGGGTTATCCAGTGAGGATCGACTGAATTTTGGAGAAATATCTTCTGGTCTGGAAGATCGAACTCACTATTCAGAAGTAAGAGTCAACCAGGCTAAATCGCTATTAGCCCTTAACAAGGCGCCCAAATATATTAACTCTACTTAACTATATTGGGAACAAGGTCACAAGTATTGGGTACCTAGTGAGGATCGACTGGATTTTGGAGAAATATCTTCTAGTCTGGGAGATCGAACTCATTACTCAGAAGTAAGAGTCAACCAGGCTAAATCGCTATTAGCCCTTAACGAGGCGCCCAAATATATTAACTATATATAATGACTTGTATACTTGTGACCTTATTGAGAATAAGGTCACACGACTGGATTTTGGAGAAATATCTGCTGGTCTGGAGGATCGAACTCACGAATCTGAAGTAATAGTCAACCAAACTAAATCGCTATTAGCAAATAATGAAGCGTCTAGATATATTAACTACACTTAACTAAATTGGGAACAATGTCAGAAGTATGGGGAACCCAATGAGTATCGACTGGATTTTGGAAAAAAGCCTTCTGGTTTACCACTCAGAACGACCAAACTTGTTAACCATTACCTCATGTGAGACCATCCTTATATATTGTATTAATTATGTTTTTTGTAGTTATGTTAGTAGATTTATGTCAGAGTTCTGAGTTTTGCGATAGGGGTTTTCCACATTACAGCATCTATCCCACAGACGAAACATCGCAAGTCTCTGGCTACTCTACCCCTTTTACCATAGCAAGTGTTTAGACGCTATACATTCATTAATTCCACCAACCCATCCTTGACTCTCATGCAAAAACCCGCCATACTATTTATACCGGAATTAATCATCCCCAGTCTATTCGTATTCCGTTAGTATGGAGACATCTTTCCAAAAACCGCTGCTTCGTGGGACTAACTCCCAAGAGGATGCTTCCCCAATCTTAAATTCTCCAAGTCAAGGATCAACCGTTATCTTTCCTATATACCTAGTGAACTGCACCGTTTACCCCCTCCTCTTACGTGTTTCAAGTCAATTAGTAAACCTGTGCTGTGAATGAATCTTGGGCCTTTATAGAGTGAACAATTAGTAACAAAAACTGAGTCGCTCACGTTGGTCAAATATTGCGAAGTAAAATACTCTTATCTCTTTAACCGCGTTCGCAATGCATTTTTTATTTTTCTTCTTTTTTTCTTCTTCATTTTCTACTTTGCATTATTCATCTTCTTTTCGTTCTTCTTTTCCTTCTTCATTTTTCATTCTGCTCTTTTCATTCTTCTACTTTTCGTTCTTTTTCGTTTCATTCTTCTTCATTCCCTTTTTCTTCTTCTTTTCATTCTTCTTCTTTTCATTTCTTCTTTTCATTCTTTTTCGTTTCATACTTCTTCATTTCTTCTTCTTTTCATTCTTCTTCTTTTCATTCTTTTTCCTTTCATTCTTCTACCTTTGATTCATCTTCTTTTCGTTATTTTTCTTTTCATTCTTCTTTCTTCTTCTTTTTCATTTTTCTTCGCGTTTACTATCTTCATTTTTCTCATTATTTTCTTTTTTTCATACGTCTTCTTTACAATATCATCATCTTTTTCTTTCTTCATTTCCTTTTTATTATACTCATGAATATGATCAGTATCCATTTTATCATATATTTTTCTTTTTATTATGCTTATTATTATTATTATTATCATCATCATCATCATCATCATTATTATCATTATTATTATTAGCTGTAGCATTACTTACTATTGCATTAATAGTCGTCATCGTAGTAACGGTTTTTTTTTATTAAATTATTGTTACTTTTTATTTTTTTAGTTTCGTATTTTTCGATTTTTTCAGGTTAGACATTACAATTTTTTGTTTTCATTTTTGTTCCGTGTCTTCGGTTTTTATTACAATTTTCTTTTCATTTCATTTCACTTTCTTTTCTTTTTTTTTATTAACTTGAGCATGTTTTTCCCTTCATCTCAGAGCTTGATTAATATGTTCCGAACGATTTTGTCACATTCGTACAATATCAGTCGCGTTGAATTCAATTGAAGATTCTACCAACGGTAAACTTTTTTTTTTCCCGACTGATGAACGGGGTGAAATAGGCGTTAGAAGATGGGGGGTGATGTGTTGAGGGGGATAGAGAATGGCCATAGCTGTCTTGTCGACAAATTTACGCTTCGATAGGGCCAGAAGAGAAATATTTTTAGAGATGGAAATAATTTTTGGAGATGGGATGAGAGAAACGGGCCTTGAGTGGTTGGGATATGGTCCGTTTCTATGTAGAGCCATCCAATTCGGAAAAAAAAAAATAATTTCAAGAACATTTTAAAGATAAAAGAAAAGCAAAAGAAAATGAGATGCGATGAGGTGAAAGACATACAGACAGACAGACGGTGAAAGAAAGAAAGAAAGAAAGAAAGAAAGAAAGAAAGAAAGAAAGAAAGAAGCCACTAGAGAAAAAGAAAGAGGTCAAAGAAAGAAAGAAAAATTCAAAGACAGGAAGAAAGAAATAATAAAAAGTCAAAGAAAGACAGAAAGAAACCACTATAGAAAAGAAAGAGGTCAAAGAAGAAAGAGAAAGTCAAAGACAAAAAGAAAAAAAAAAGAAAACAGTTAAAGAAAGAAAGAAAGAAAGAAAGAAAGAAAGAAAAATTCAAAGACAGGAAGAAAGAAAAAATAAAAAGTCAAAGAAAGAAAGAAAGAAAGAAGCCACTAGAGAAAAAGAAAGAGGTCAAAGAAAGAAAGAAAAATTCAAAGACAGGAAGAAAGAAATAATAAAAAGTCAAAGAAAGAAAGAAAGAAAGAAAGAAACCGCTATAGAAAAGAAAGAGGTCAAAGAAAGAAAGAGAAAGTCAAAGACAAAAAGAAAACAGTTAAAGAAAGAAAGAAAGAAAGAAACCACTAGAAAAAAGAAAGAGGTCAAAGAAAAAAAGAAAAACAGGAAAGACAGGAAGAAAGAAAAAATAAAAAGTCAAAGAAAGAAAGAAAGAAAGAAAGAAAGAAAGGAAGAAAGAAAGAAAGAGAGGAAAAAAAGAAAGAAAGAGGTCAAAGAAAGAAAAACCTACCGTATATAGTCGAGTATTGTGCAAATTTTTATGATTAGTTTTTTACGCAAAAAGTAGGCGGGGGCGCACTATACGCAGGTAACTTTTTTTGAAGATGTTAAAAATCATGCATGACCGGTTGCACTATGCACAGGTATTTTTTTCTGGAGCGGTTAAAATTCATCCTACCCCGTCGGTGTACATTCTCACGGCACTTTTGTCAATGCATAAAACGTAGTACATAACTGCCACGGTATCTGTCTATATTTCTGAGATTATTATATACACTATTTACATTATTCGGACTACGGTATTGTTGTATTACGTGTACATTCCCTTCATTTAACAAATATAAACATAATCCGTCATTTAATAACTGCTTTCTATAAAGATTTGAGTGTCTAGATTCTTCAAATAAAATATTCTTCCCTATAGATTAACAAATACTTGCTGGCCAGCAGCAGCAATGGAGAGCCGCTGCGGCAACAAATCAGAGAACACATTTAAATAATCTCAATTTCTAGCAAATACAATATATGGGCATAAGTACATCTTACGTACAATGACTTGAATTATCAAAACCCAAAGTATGTACGTCAGTTTGTGGGACACAACGTCTTATGTACCGGTAATACTGACAAAATGGTTGTTATTGGAAAGTAAATACCTCAGCGATGTAAACACAAATTTAAGATAGGGAAAGTCTATTAATTCTTCATTTGTTGATTTTAAGTGGCACAAATAGTGGATGAGGTTTTGTCCTTCATGTAGTGACAAAAGGGAACTTAAGCTATGTAGGAGGCAGGTCCAGGCTAAAGGAGCTAGCGTAATGAGATGAATGCAAATTTAAGCTAGGAAAAAAATCTATTAATTCTTCATTTATATAACTTATTTTTTGTGGCATAAAGTGTGGATGAGGTTTTGTTCTTCATGTAGTGACAACTCCCTTATTCTTGCTGCTGCTTATTTTAATTCCTTTCTCCCTTTTCCTTCATTCTATTTATTCCGCATCCATATTGTCTTGTTTCTTTTCTGCTTCTTGTTTTTATTCCCTTCTTCTTCATTCTTCTTTTTATTTATTTAACTCCCTCTTTCTTTTTTGCTTCTTCTATTTATTCCCTTCTTCCTTTTCCTTCTTTCTATTTATTCAACACCCTTATTCTTTTTACTTCTTGTTTTTATTCCCTTCTTCTTCTTTCTAATTATTCAACACGCTCATTCTTTCTTCTTCTTCTTTTTAATCCCCTCTTCTTTCTATTTATTTAACTTCCTCTTTCTTTCTTCATCTTCTTTTTACTCCCTTCTTCTTCTTTCTTCTTTCTATTTATTCAACTCCTTCTTCTTTTTTTATTCTTCTTCTTTTTTTTCTTTTATTTATTCAACTCTCTTTCTTTCTTCTTCTTCTTTTTATTCCCTTCTTCTTCTTTTTCTTCTTTCTATTTCTTTCTTCTTCTTCTTTTTACTCCCTTCTTCCTTTTTCTTCTTTCTATTTATTCAACTCTCTCTTTCTTTCTTCTTCTTCTTTTTATTCCCTTCTTCTTCTTTCTTCTTTCTATTTATTCAACTCTCTCTTTCTTTCTTCTTCTTCTTTTTATTCCCTTCTTCCTTTTTCTTCTTTCTATTTATTCAACTCTCTCTTTTTATTCTCTTCTTTTCTTTCTTCTTCTATTTTTCAACTCTCTCTTTCTTTCCTTCTTCTTCTTTTTTTTTCTTCTTTCTATTTATTCAACTCTCTCTTTTCTTTCTTCTTCTTTTTTTCTTCCTTTTTTTTCTTCTTTTTTCTTCTTTCTATTTATTCAACTCTCTCTTTCTTTCTTCTTCTTCTTTTTTTTATTCAACTCTCTCTTTTCTTTTCCCTTCTTCTTCTTTCTTCTTTCTATTTATTCAACTCTCTCTTTCTTTCTTCTTCTTCTTTTTATTCCCTTCTTCTTCTTTCTTCTTTCTATTTATTCAACTCTCTCTTTCTTTCTTCTTCTTCTTTTTATTCCCTTCTTCTTCTTTCTTCTTTCTATTTATTCAACTCTCTCTTTCTTTCTTCTTCTTCTTTTTTATTCCTTCTTCTTCTTTCTTCTTTCTATTTATTTCTTCTTTCTTTCTTCTTTTCTTTTTTATTTATTCTATTTATTCTCTCTCTTTCTTTCTTCTTCTTCTTTTTAATCCCCTCTTCTTTCTATTTATTCAACTTCTCTTTCTTTCTTCTTCTTCTTTTTATTCCTTCTTCTTCTTTTCTTCTTTCTATTTATTCAACTCTCTCTTTCTTTTCTTCTTCTTCTTTTTTTTTCTTCCTTTTTTCTTTTTATTTCAATCTCTTTCTTTCTTCTTCTTCTTTTTTATTCCTTCTTCTTCTTTCTTTTTATTTATTCCTTCTTTTCTTTCTTCTTCTTTTTTATTCCTTTTTCTTCTTTCTTCTTTCTATTTATTCAACTCTCTTTCTTTCTTCTTCTTCTTTCTTCTTTTTCTTCTTTTTTTATTCAACTCTCTCTTTCTTTCTTTCTTCTTCTTCTTTTTATTCCTTTTCTTCTTTCTTTTTTTATTTATTCAACTCTCTCTTTTTTTCTTTTTTTTCTTCTTCTTCTATTTTTATTTCTTCTTTTTTTTCTTTTTCTTCTTTCTATTTATTCAACTTTCTTCTTCTTTTTTTATCCCTTTTTTTTCTTTCTTCTTCTTCTTTTATTCCTTCTTCCTTTTTTTTATTCACTTCTTCTTTCTTCTTTCTATTTATTCAACACTCTCTTTCTTTCTTCTTCTTCTTTTTATTCCCTTCTTCCTTTTTCTTCTTTCTATTTATTCAACACCCTTATTCTTTTTACTTCTTCTTTTTATTCCCTTCTTCCTCTTTCTTATTTCTATTTATTCAACCCGCTTATTCTTTTTGTTTCTTATTTCTACCACGTTCTTATTTTATCATCTTCCTGTTAAATACTTTATTCTTTATTCGTTTCCTTCCTCTTTTTCTTCCTTCTCTGTTTCATTATTCTTTGAAATCCCTTAATTTTTTTTATCCTTTTCATTTCTTTCTTATTATTACATCTTCTTCTTTATTCTTTTATCTCCAGTTTTATTCTTACTTCTTCGTATTTATTTTTCACACACTCCTTCTTATTTTTTTATCTATATTTTTAATTTTTCTTTTTCTTTTCAATATTTTTCCTTTTTTTCTCTTCTTCTTATTTTCGGTATTCTTTCCTCTTCCTCCTTATTCTTTCTTCTCTCTCTTTATTTTTTTCCTCTCTCTTCTTATTTTTCTTTTTCCACTCACTTCTTTTCTTATTCTCTCTCTCTCTCTCTCTTTAACCTTTTCTCTACTTTCTTCTTTTTCTTCTTTTCTCCTATTCTTTCCTCTCCCTTCTTTTGTTTCCGCCCTCTCTCTCTCTCTCTCTCTCTCTCTCTCTCTTATTATTCTTATTTTTTCTCCTCTCTCCTTATTCTTTTCTTTCCCTTTTTATTTTTTTATTCTTTCTCATTATTTTTTTTATATTCTTATTCTGTCTTCATTCCACTTATTCCATGGAACGAGTGTTTTTACTCACCCCGTTTTATTTTTGTTTTTTCTCACTCATTCAATTTTATCTTAGTCATTTTTCTCTTCAACCTTTCTTGTTCTTTCTGTAACTTCTCTTTTTCTCATCATCAATACAATCTTAACTTCGGGCTACTTATATCTATCTTCCTATCGTTTTATCTGTCTGTCTAATTCTCTTGTAATCTTACTGTCGAACTCTTTTCTATGTTGCTATCCTTTCCGAATTCCTGTATTTTTTCTACTATATCAAAGGCTCCTTATCTATTTATTTCATCCTTTTAAACTAATCTCTCTCTCCCCTCGTTTCTTTAGGTCTCTGTCCCTACCGCCTCCCTCCATTTTTTTTTCTCACATCCTTACTCTCGTATCTCTTCCTACCACAACTCTTTTTACTAATGCTTCGTTTATCCTCTCCTGAATACCCTGATGTGCATTTGTCGCCACAACCGTTCTGTCCGTGAACTCATTCTAACTTTGCCAAGTGGTCCTCTTTTTTCGGCTAGCGGCCATGACAGACAAAGGCGTCCACCTCCTTTCAACTCGGTGACCTTGGATGAAAATAATTCCCCCGCAAGACGCAGGAGGCTGGAGAATGACAAGATGAAGATGACAGTATAAGGAAACATTTTGTGATGATGGAGTTAGCAGGGAAAGAAAAGGGGAATGAAATAAAATAGAGGACTGGATAGAAAGAATGGAACGAGATAAAAACATGAAGAAATTAAACACAACAACTCAAAAGCAAAACAGAAATTTTTGAGAAAGCAAAAAATGAAACGAAAATAGGAAGAGAAAAAAGAACGGAAGAAATAAAGAAAATAAAAGAAATGGAAAGAGGAAGCAGAAAAAAAATGAAATGAAGGAATTTGAAAGAAAATCAAGAAAAGTCTAAGAGATTAATCTGAAAAGAAAGAAAGTAAGAAACCAGAAATGACAGACGAAGAAAGTAACTCGAAACTGGAAAGATGTTAAACAAGATTAAAAAAAAGAAAGGAGGAATATGTGACGATAATAGAAATGTAATGCAAAGTAAAAATGAGGTGTATAAAGAGAAAGAAAGAAACAATAAAATTGTTGAAACGAAATGAGATGCAAAGAAAGAAAGAAAGAAAGAAAGAAAGAAAGAAAGAAAGAAACCAATAACGATCCACAAAGAAAGTAAATCGAAACAAAAAAAATCCTAAACAAAAACTGGAATAAGAAAGAAAGGAAGAGTAAGCGATAAGAAATAACAAACGGAATGTAACAAAAAGAAAGAAATGAGGCGTATGGAAAGAAAGAAAGAAAGAAAGAAAGAAAGAAAGAAAGAAAGAAAGAAAGAAAGAAATTGGTAAAAACAAACGAGGCGTAAAGAAAGAAAGAAAGAAAGAAAGAAAGAAAGAAAGAAAGAAAGAAAGAAATTGATAAAAGAAACGAAAGAAAGAAAGAAAGAAAGAAATTGGTAAAAACAAACGAGGCGTAAAGAAAGAAAGAAAGAAAGAAAGAAAGAAAGAAAGAAAGAAATAAAGAAAGAAAGAAAGAAAGAAATTGGTAAAAACAAACGAGGCGTAAAGAAAGAAAGAAAGAAAGAAAGAAAAAAAGAATGAAAGAAATTGATAAAAGAAACGAAAGAAAGAAAGAAAGAAAGAAAGAAAGAAAGAAAGAAATTGGTAAAAACAAACGAGGCGTAAAGAAAGAAAGAAAGAAAGAAAGAAAGAAAGAAAGAAATTGATAAAAGAAACGAGGCATGCAAAAAGAAAGAAAGAACTAGAAATGAGGCATAAAGAAAACAAGTTAAAACTTGGTAGAATTAAACAAGAGGATGGGAAAAGAAAAAGAGAAAATGTGATGAAGTAAAAATAAAATTTGGAAGAAAGAAAGAAAGAAAGAAAGAAAGGAAGAAAGAAATATTTAACGTATAAAAAAAAGAAACTTAGAACCCAACAGATAAAAAAAATGAAGAAGAAAGCAAAATGCTCATATCATTCGACTTCAATAATCTCTCTTCTTATAAAAATAAAAAAAGACCCCCAAAAAAAAGAATCTGGGATCTCTTTCTTTTCTTCTTTTTTTCTCCTTTTTTGTCACCTACAATTAATTCTCCTCTTTTCTTTATCCTTATTTTTCTGTCCTCAGGTCCCTCTGTCCAGAGAATGAGAACGTTTGGTGTACGGGTTAGCAAGATTTGCTTGAAGGAGAAATTCCGTTCTCACGCGCATGTGTGGCGAATAGAGCAAAATAAAACAAAGGAAAAAAGAGATGAATTGTTGATATGTATTTTCTATGCCTCTTTCTTGCCCCCTTTACACAAAAAAAAAGACAATTTAACTGGATTGTAGCCTGCGTCATGACTGGGGTAACTGCATATTTCTGAATGCCAGAAATCGGTATACCGTTTGAGAAAAACAAGAAATCGAAGGCTCATTTATAACGACAAATGACCCGCTTTACACAGAAAAATGCCACAATAGAATCTTTCTGGAGCTATTTCATGCATCTCCCTTTACACTGTACTAGGTTATGCTTAATAAATCTGAGAGCCTCTTTGATTTGGTTAGTATATTGAACGTAGAAAGATCTCACGTACACAAAAATGCACGTACGTATTTTACTTATGCGCATGTGCTGGAGCACGCATAAGTAAAAAACACACACACACACACACATATATATATATATATATATATATATATATATATGGGTGTTGTTTTTTGTTGTTTTTGTTTTTTTTTTTTTTGCCGGAGGTAACCTACTTTGAACGATTGTACTTTTGAATTACGAACCTTCTTCGTCCTAGTTATATATATATATATATATATATATATATATATATATATATATATAATATATATATATATATATATATATATATATATATATATATATACATTTCTAGAAAGTTTTTCTTTTTAAATTAAAAGAAAACGCTTAAATGACACACGAAGAAAGTAAATCGAAATTCTTCATTGCGTCCAATTATTTAAAATATAGAATGCATGAATTTTTACAAAACTAAAATGATAATTTCATCAGAAAAAGATTCTACAAAAACATTTACTCACTTTAGTTTATTCAACATTACATCACTTAACGTCTTCAATAATTTACTGTGACTTTCATTTACCTTGATATATATTTATGAGCGTTTGTAAATTTAAAAATTCTGAAAAAATACCGACATTTTTAATTGTGTTTCTAAATACTTGTTGTAAAATAAAATCCTCGCAGTTATCTTGATAAAGTCCATCAGAGGACGGAACGCATCGGCAAAAATGTTTTCTTTTTGTCTCTATTCATATTGTATTTATTTATATTTTTATGGAAAATAATAAATACATAGAGAAATAAAAAAGAGATAAAAAAACAGGTCAAAAAATTATCGAAATAAATAAAAAATAGACAAACGGCTCCCACCAAAATAACCGTTAGAATGGACGAACCACAATGCATCAATGACCGGTATATAAAAATAATGGAGTAAAAGACCAACACATGTGGCCTGACGATTGCACGGAGTCTTGGCCGAAACCTTGGCTGTCTCGTTTTTTTTTTTTTTTTTGTTTTGTTTTTTTTTGGGGGGGGTATTTTATTTTATTGGGGGGGTTGTTTTTTTGCCGGAGGTAACCTACTTTTGAACGATTGTACTTTTGAATTACGAACCTTCTTCGTCCTACAAGTTATTTCTTAAGTTTATTTAATTTAATTTTCTTTCTTTCATTTATTCGTTTCTTCTGTTTGAATTATTTTTTTCTTGTTTTCTCTTCCTGTCAGACTTTATTTTTAGTCTGGTTTGACAAGATCTTACCGGACTGCGTTTTTTTTCTGCTTATTTATTTCATTTCTTTTTTATGTTTTTTTTTTTTTTTTCGCGTTTATTTTTAAAAAATAAGTAAAGTTTAAGAAAAGAAAAGAGACAAAGAAGGAAGTTTTTGAATTTTTCCTTTTTAGTTTATACCCTCCCCCGTTTTATTTTCGCTTTTGTACCTAATTCCTTTAAGTTTTAGGTCTTTTTATAAGTTGATTTCTTTATTTCTTCATTCTTTATTAATTCCTATTTGATTTGATTTTTCCGCCGGCGGCCTCGGCCGCAAACCTTTATTTTTATTTTAACTGGTTTTACTAGGTTCAAACCAGACTTCTGTATTTTTCTTTTTCTTTTGCATTTTAATTTATACTGTAGTTTATTTTTGACGCGTGAAAAATGGGAGTTTCTTTTTTTTTTTGATATTTGAATTTTGAACGTTTTAATTTTTTTCTTTTTTGTCGAACTTGGGTTTTTTTTTTGGGGGGGAAGGGTTCTCGGCGGCTTTTGGACGCCATTTTGAATTCTATTTCTTTTTAAAGTCTGAAGAGATTACTTATTTTATTTTCTTTCTTCTATTTATTAACTACTTATTTGAGCTAGTTTAGTTTAATCTAAATCCTATTTTTTTCTTTCTTTATACTTTATCAGTTTTATTTATTTTTCGTCTTTTTTATTTCTTTCCTTGTATTCCACGGTTTCGGCCGACTTATTTATACTTGGGTTAACATTTAGTTTTCCCAGTCTTTATTTTTTAAATTGCTTTCATTTTTTTATCTCTCTTTATATTCGTTTTTTTGTTTAATTCCTTCTTTTCAATTAGTTCTTATAAGTAGTTTATTCTTTTTTTCCCACTGGTTTAACCAGACTTTCTTTTATTCTATTCATTCTGTATTTTCCCACTCTCCTGTTTGTAATATTTCTTTAATTTCTTCTATTTTTATAGAATAATCTAATTTTTATTTTTGCGTATTTTTTTTTTTCCTTTTTCCCCCTACCCACTTTGCTCTTCGCAAGTAATTGATAAAATTTAGACTCGCTTAGTGTTGTATTTTTTTTTTTTTTTTGTTGAAAATCGCCGACGAGGTTTGTCGGTCTGTAAAAAAAAAGAAAGGCAGACCCCCTCCACCCCCGGATAAAATGAAATCTAATAAACGGGGGCTGCCTCTCCTGAAAATCCAGTAGAAAAGATAAATGTGCTTGCTTCTAGTAGCACTAGAAGTAAAGACATTATGCCGGTCTTGAGCAAATCTAATGGCGATAAGGTGCCGAAAGAAGCACAATACGACAGCCGGGGAATCGCCTTTTTAATGGAAGTCCCCTCCGAGTTGCATTGTGAACATTGCGGAATTGTTGGAAAAGGATAAGGGCTACGCACATCTTGTAAAAGAAGATAGGCGCTTAGAAGACGTCCAAGAATTGAAGGTGTTTGAAAAGAGAATCGTGCCGGTCTTCGTGGTGGACAAGCGTTCGCGCAAAACGAAAGGCATAGTGATAAAGTCACTCGTGTACCTTGGGGATTAAACCCCAAAGAGTAATCAAAGTAACAGGTTTCTTTATGTGGGACGTACTGCTGCCCACTGGCGAAGATTGCCTAGAGATGGCAAAAAAAGAATAAATTCCAAAGACCTCATTCTAAGAACGGAATATAAGGGTCGGCGAAGGACCTGTGGCCGTATTTGAGGTTCCTCCTCAAGTAACAGGAGATAACCTGGCTGCATTCTTTATGCCGCACGGCCAAATTTTACGTGCCATTTCCGGCAACCTGAACGGAGGATGGAGCTTTGACATTTTGCTTGATGGTTTGGCCTTTGTCTCCATCCCCAACTGTTTTGATTTTTGCGGTCAGAAAATGCTGTTCATTGTGGCCTGTAGAAAACCTACTTGTTGGAGGTTTGGAGAGACTCGTCACCTCTCCTCCTCCTTGCCCAGAAAAGATGGCCCCTGGAGTTCCGGCCGCTGGCGACCAAAATCCCCTCTGGCCGATACTGTAAAATCCGCGGCGCCTGTAATGGGCCTACCTGCGACACGGTGAGGACAATCCCTCGATTAGTTCCTCGTCCACATCCCCGCCAAAAACCGACGCCTTACGCAAGTGTGGATAAAGAGAAGAAAGAAGGGGAATGGTGTGTCGTTCGTAGAGGCATGGGGAAGAAACGAACAGCGGGGCCTCAGTCCCAGCATGACCCTTAGTATGACAACACCTACAGTCCAATTCCCTCTACCAGCTCTAAGGGCGACGTCCCGGCGTTGTATAAAAAAGCAGCATCTGATGTACAGAAATTTAATGAACCAAGATGGCGGAAGATGTTAGACTTAAGAAAGTTAAAGAAAGTGTTGGATGAAAAGCGAGCTAAAAAACAAAAGTTGATGGGAGCAGCGCGCCCCTCCTCCTCTGCCTCGTATACCCCTTCAACAAAAAATCATTTGTCGAACAACCTCCTCCCAAATCACTAACAAGTACACTATCCAAGCAAATAACTGTAAGTGACATTCCATTACCTCAACCTTCCCCTTTTAAAATCACTTCTGGCTATACACCCACATACACAAGAGTAACAGAAGTCCAGAAGCGCATGTCACATCGGAAAAAGAAAGAAAAAGATCAAACCGCCATATCTCCCAGGGGAAGACGTCTTTCGCGTATCCCGGGATTAAGACTAGAGGGGTTTTGGGTAGACGAGAAACCTGAAACCATTAAAAGTATTGCGGAACTTTCGGCACATTAATGGGAAAGATATAAAAGTGCCTGAGAATTTCAAATCGGCATAAATGCTACTGACTATTGTGCGATACGGCCCGGCGGGACATTTGCTGCATGACTGAGGTGGCCAACTCGTCTTTGAAATTGGTGCCCCAAGCAGCCTACATGCTTGATGCATATATGACAGAGATGAAGAAACATTGCACCGGGAGGCTCCCCGTTTTTGTTCACGCATCCCTGTATAGAGCCTTAAAGTTAACATATCCCAGGAACATTAGCGGCATGTCTCATGATGATAACGTCGAGATTGAGATGGCCACTGGATCAATGGAACAGGCTGTCGGTATTCTCACGCCGGTCATGTTCAATGCAGGAAAGCAACCGTAATGGGTCTGATAATGTCTCTCTGGTTAGCTAGTGTGAATGTCAGAGGCCTGAGGTCGGAGTCTCGCAGGGCGAGGCTCTCTCGTGACATTCAGTTCCTCGGGGTGTATGTTTATTGTGTACAGGAGACCTGGTTTTCTACTCATGACTCTGAGGGTATTCTGTCTAGAGAGTTCTCCCACTATTCAGCTTGTTTTGATGGTCGTTCGAGGGGTGTCTCTTGGCTGGTGATCAAGTCTTTGAAGGCTGCGTGTACTCTTGCCGTCGCAGATCCGGCGGGCAGACTTTGCGTGCTGGATGTTACCATAAAAGATAAGGCTCTTCCTCTCATTGGGTTTTATGAGCCCAATGAACATTCTGAGCGGCCTGCTTTGTTTCGGCAGATCGAGCCGGTTTTGACATCGGATAGTTTTAGCGGAGGATTGGAATGCTGTCCTTGACCCCGACATAGATCGTATAGGGCTATATTCGAGTACTAACAACTGGGACGTGAAACCATTTCGGGGCCTTATCGATAAGTTCGATCTTGCCGTTA